AGCGCTGGATCAGAGAGTCAGATAGCTCTCCTGCTTCCCCGTTCCCTCCTCCCTGTAACCAGTAAACCAAACTGGAACTGATCTCATGTTTTGCTGTTCTGTCTCTTCACTGGTGCAGTATGCACGCAGGTGCCTTTGGTAGGCAGGTAGTTGTAACAACGAACTGGATGCCCTGGTTCCCTGTTGTTTCTGATGCCAGCTGCTAGTGGGGAGGGAAGCAAATACAACTAAAAATAGAAAAGGAAGGAAGGAAGAACTTATTAAAGAACGTGGGAAGGCGAGGCTTTTGTACTTTGCGTACTTTGAGTTCTCACTTTGGAGTTGTGCGCTGTGAGTTTTCAGAATTGCCTGTTTGCTGGGAGAGCGATGCCAGCTCTGTGGAGAGAGAGACCTGTTATCATGGCTTCCTGTAATTACTGCTGCAGTCTGTGGCGCTTAGAGAATAGGTTATATCAAAGTGCATACTACATGTTTATGACAGTAGTTGGTCAAGTTCTGCTTGAAAGAAATATTTTCTTCCCTTGAAAAAGGAGATTATGTCTACTTAACCCTTTCTTAGCTCCCGTAGTATTCACTGTATATGAGCCTGGGCATGGTTTAAACCTTGTAGCAAGGGTTACGGGATCTTTCTAGCCCCTGAAATGTTTTGTGGAAATGAAAGAAAAGTGAGTTCTATGTGTTGACTAATAATCTAGTGACAATCCCTGCATTGTGCCCTCTTTTTTAATATAGACATTTACAACAGTCACTTGCTACAGCTTTAGAGATCTGCTTGTGCCTCTGACTTGATTAGCCTTTTATTCTGTCAGCCCTGTTCTTGCTTCTGAGGAATTGTTTCCTTCTTTGAACAAAAGCCATCAACAGTTCCCGCCTCTCCTCCTCCTTCTTCATTTCTTACCTTACCTGTTTTTCAGCATTCATTTAATTCAGGACCTTGAGTTTTTCCGTGCAGTTCTCAAACAGGCTGCGACTCTGAAGGCTTGAAGTTGCAGGTACTCCCAAATCTCTGCTGGGCACTCACAAATTGGGTCTCCAAGAGTCCCAGCAGTTTTGTGCTGGAGAATCTAAACTTCTGGCTGCCGGTGGGATTTGGGGTACACGTGTGAAAACTGCATTTGGAAATCTCCGACCTAGATAAGAGTGATCACCCAGAATGCTGAGTAGCGTTCAGGGGAGGTTGTCCTGCCTCATCCAGAGCTGTTTGCGATCTTTAGAAAACGTGCTGCTGATAATAGTTTCAATCACAGTAAATGGTGCTGGGAAGTCCGCTTGGGTGTCCACTGTGTTGCTCGGCCAGTGCTGGTTGTGGTCCCCTCTGTCTTTGTTCAATTCTTTGTGTTCAGGGCACCACAGGATGAGGAATTTGTGAGTAAAAGTCTATGTTTTTCCATGTGATATAAAAAAAATATCTACCACTGGAACAATCTCTCTCTGAGTCTCTTTATTTATTTATTTTTTGCCTCAGAGGCTTCTGTCTGTTGAATTGGGTTCTCCCGTTTAAATGTTTTTAGTGCCTATTTAATTAGAAGTTGGAATAGAGTCATGAAATTCACACGGTTGTGTAGCTTGGATCTAAAATATAAATGGGCAAAGCATTCATTTTGCTTTACCCCTTGCCAGGTTAGGGTGCTTTTCTGAGCCTGCTTTTTATTTCATTTCTATGAATTGCAACTGCTCAGAGTAACTGTAAAACACACAGAGGTTTTTTTGCATAACAGAGACATGCAAATGGTTGGTGAGAGATGTAAGTATGTAAAGAAAAGTATATGCCCGTATGCATGCGCGCATACACTGCAATGCTTTTTGTGGGGCTATTTTTTCACAATACATCTTCATAAGGCTCTTTTTATGATGCTGATTTATTAATATTGCACATTACGGCTTAAATTGTCAAAGCTGCCTAAGAGATTTGGATGCCCATTTCCCATTAAAGTTAACGAAAAATGAGCTTTGAAAATCTCAGCACAGAGGTGCATGGCACTTTACAGTGTGCTTTCCAAAGAAAAAAGTCCCTGTCCTGAAGACCCTACAGTGCAAAAGCCCCAGAAATGGAATTATAATCGGCGTAAGACAAAGGGGATTGTAATGGCACAGATAATAATTTATCCCCTATGCCTGCATTCAGATACATACCTGATCCAAAATCTTTGGACCTGGGCCCACGAGTGAAGGTTTTATATACCTCCGTAAAGATAATTAAATCTGTTCATTACACATATATTCAGCTAACCAGTGAAACTGCTTCCTTGCCACATGTAGGCTGATGGAAGGAGGTGGAAAGTAATTATGATACTTAGCTGCATATATAAAAACAGCAAGTGGGCATGGACAGCAGTGATTAATGGACAGGGCTGTGAAGTTTAAGGTCTAAAACAGAGGAAGGCATGGGGCCATAGCTCAGAAGAGTGGAACAAGATCCTGTTAATTCAAGAAATCAGCTGTATTAGTCATTAGGACATTCTGAAAATCACACAGTCATCTTGGAAAGTTAATATCGATTTACTTGGCTACCAAAATTCTACTTACTGCATTATTTAACTAGTCTGGTGTTTTCTTGGCAAAGGTTAAGGTGACAGTAAAGATAAAAGAAGTACCTGTAAGTAAATAATAGGTTTTAAAAGAATACTTTTTCTTCCTTCAATTATATCACCGTATTCATTTTGTGTTGGTTTTATAACTGGAGTCAGCCAATAAGAAGAACTAGATTAGACCACCCTGCTGTAAAAAGCTTGATGCAATTAATACAGTCTGTCTAGAAAGCAGTATTATTTCAAAAACTTTTATGTTAATGATATGGTATGCGCTCGGCACATTTCTTACTAGAACAAGAAGCAAGCTTTTGTTCACTCCAGACTGGGTTTTATTAACACAGGAGGATCAATGGAAAACAAAACAGTAATCGGAGCAGAGAATGCAAACTCATCCAGCAAAAACCTCCTAACTCATCAAGTCCCAGGACGATGGCTGATACTCTACTTTTCATTTTTTGTTGAGTGGAATCTCAGGGGAAAAAAAAAAAGTCCACTAAAACTTGATTTCTGATCAGCACTGGGTGCTTTTTCGAGAGGAGAAAGAGGAATTGGGTGTACGTGTCTGAGGGCAAACAAAGATCTATAGTTTCCCTGAGACCCTTTGAAAATGTATCTTTTAATTTTGCTGCATAAAGAAGAGGTTTGCCTAAAGTACTGGCTAACATTCAGGAGAGATGTACCTATTAGTCATGGTTACATGTATTTATTTATTTTAGTGAAATATTTAATGCATGCTATAGTAGAATTGACTTTGTGGACAGTACTTACAGAGTGCAGGGATGTGTGAGAGATGTATATACTAAAAACGGTAATGCATCAGTCTGAGTGTATGCATCCATCTTTTCATCTATCTATCAATCTCTGTGCTCATCCATCTATCCAAGTATTAAAATCATGTGTGACCTGTCTGTCTATGCAGCTCTCT